GCTGTAGTAAAAAAAAGGTCTACTTAGTATAATAGGAATTTTAGAGTTAACATCCACCTCAACCTTCACATCTAATACCAAGAAATCATTGGGGTAGTAAAATTTATCAACATGGACTAACCTATCTTCAACTACTTCCCTTGCTCGTATGATGGATTGGTCAGCTAATTGTAGCACCACTGAGGTGGGTTTTATCTCTCCTAGACCTAACAACAAGTATATAGCATAGGGTATGAGATTGACACTAGCTCCTAAATCAAGAAGGGCTTTTGCAAACTCACGGTTCCCAATGACACAAGAAATGGTAGGACAACCAGGGTCCTTATACTTTGGTGGGATCCTTTGTTCTATCACAACACTCACTTGCTCGGTCAAGAAGGCAGTTTTTTTATTTGATGCTTCCTTTTTACGGTGCACAAGTCCTTAAGGACTTTAGCATATGTAGGAACTTGAGAGATTACATGCAAGAGAGGCAAATTGATTTTGACTTGTCTGAGGTATTCTAGGGTTTCATTATGCTGACCTGTTGATTTTGAAGTGGACTTGAGAGGTTGAGGGAAAGGTATTCTAGCTAGGTTTTTCAATATTTCCTCACTAGAACTGTTCTCATTAGGCTCACTTGGTTCTTTTTCGTTCTCTTTAAGTGGAGGGGTTGGTTCTACAACCTTCCTTAATCTAGTGGTTATGGCATTCGCCTCCTTAAAATTGGCCTCTTCGGATCCTGAGGTTTGTGCCATGTGCTGCCCTTTTGGGTTTAGTTGAGCTTGAGCTGGAAACTTCCCACATTCCCCTACAGGTAAGGCATTGGTTAATTTAGACATATGATTCTTTATCTCTTTGTTTTCCTCAACTACCTGGGCAATCATAGTCTCAAATTTTTGATTTGTTTTGCCTTGCGCCTCGATGAATGCATGTAGGATGTCTTTTAAGGAATTTCTAGAGGACATGAGTTGACGTGGGGGTGCATTGTAAGCTCAAGTTTGTTGGGAATATTGTTGGTTCTAAGATTTCTAGCTAAAGTTGGGATGATTCCGCCACCCTGGGTTATAAGTCTCGAAGTAAGGGGTGTAGGGCTTTTGATATATGCCTACGGTATTACAGTGTTCCTCATAATGTCCCCTCATCTCAACATAAGTAGCACACTCTTGTACTGGATGATTCGTGCCACCACATACAAAACAAAACCCTTCAGACTCAACACGAGAAACAACATGTGTAGATTTCAAATCCTTAGCAAATTCTCCAGTGAGGCTTTTTACATGTGTAGGGCTTCTAATTCTCCAGTGAGGCTTTTTACCTTGGCTCTAATGTTGTCTTCCTCCTTAAGGTGATAAATGCCTATGCTAGTAGAGTTTCCTTGAGGTCGTGACCTATTGGTGCTATCGGAGGCATTAGGTCCAGTCCAAGTGTGAGCCTTTTCAACTAAGTCGTCTAGATACTCTATGGCTTCATCCGGGTCTTTTAGTAAGAAGTCTCCATTACACATCATTTCTACAAATTAACGCTCCCTAGGTGTTAGGCCCTCATAAAAGTAACTTACCACACGCCAACTCTCATATCCATGGTGGGGGCAAAGTGTTTGTAACTCTTTGTATCTCGTCTAGGCTTGGTATAAGATTTCACTATCCTTTTGGGCAAATGAGAAAATTTGCCTTGGGTCATTTTAGCCTAAGTTCCAATCGAACGTGGTTTCAATGAAGACAAAAAAATTTTTTGCTCATTATTTGAGTGAAAATGGAAAAAATTTAAGCTTGATTGTATCCATTGTACCACGTTGATTTTGGAAGATTGCAACCTCTTTCTCAAATTCTCGAATATGCACGTATGGATTCTCATTTTCAAGTTCGTGAAAAATGGGAAGAAGTTGAATCATTCCCGATTTTAGGTCCATACGTGACATATTGGGTAGGAACATAATGAAAAATGGCGTGGAAGTGTGTATTGGGTGAAGGTAATCATGTATGGTCCTATTGGGCACATCACTATACTCACTATCGCTCATCGTGTTGTGTAATGTGATGCGCGTGTCTACAAATGTAGAATCGAAAAGAGGGTAAGAAAGTAATTCAAAGTCTAGTTGAGGTCTTGCAACGAATCGCCCTCGCTCATCTCGATACCTGTTCATAAAGCACAAAAATACAAAAAATGTGAGAAATAACAAAATACAACTAAAAATAAACAACAAACTAAAAAGATAAAAGAGGAATGAAGTCACCCTTTTGCTCGAAAATCCTTTAATTATTTGTACCGCCTCCCTGGCAACGGTGCCAAAATTTGATTACGCCCAAAGTGTAACGCAGTGATTGTAGCAAGATCGATAAATCAAAGTGTAAAGAGAGATATACATGTAGCAAGATTAATTCAAAAATATTTTTTCCCCAAAATGAGACTCAAACAAGGGTTAAGGTTAAAAGGGAAAAAAAAAATTAAAATTTCAGAATTTATAAAATTTAATGATGGATAGTAAACAATTTTAAAGCAGAATATTTTAAGCTTCGATTTTTACCACTTCACAAAATCTAATATCAAATGGTACAAATTCTTCTATAATCAATTTTTTAAGTTCACAAAACACCTAAAACAATTGTGTTTGTTTGACAGAAGTTGGAGCTATAAAATAAAGGGATAATTGCAGCAAAGTTCTAAATCTTTGAAACACTAGCAGATTTTTTTCAAATCTTTGATTTGTTACAGTTATCACCCATACCCTCTCCAACCATTGCATATGAGGCCTTTCAGGACGATTTTCACCCAAAATTCCGTTAGTTGACCAAAAATGATTTTGATCACATTTCAACAATTTTGAAAGGGACAGAATAACAACTTGAAATTAAAATTAAAAATAAAAAAAGGAAAAAATAAAATTGTTCTTACTTAACCCACCTCACAACAAACCAAGAAACCCATCCCCTTTGCCCCCAGGGCACATCTCCAAGTGGTAAAAGGGGAGGGTGGAGAAATCCAGCTTTGCTTGAGGCTGCTGCGTCAAGGGCTCGAATCCTGAAATATGGATTTGGCTCTTGGGTAAGTGCAAGTGTACAAGTAGCATTCCACCCTATACCCTTGGAGGCATAACTTGCGATTTACCTCCCTCACGATGCTCCAGGGCAGGGGTGGTGGGGGATCCTTAAAGTTAGGGTTTAACATTTTTTTTAATAAACCCATCCCCTTTTTGGAAACTATCGGCCGGCCAAAAATCCAAAATTCCGTTGACCCATCCACTTCTTCAACTTTGGGTTGAAAAGTAATATACATACACCAATTTGTTCCTCATGATCTCTCACTTCCATATTTCATTTTTTCTATATTTTTTGTTAAGTGCCTATGAGCTTGTTAGGTGCAACCATGGTGCAAAGGTCCCAGTGGGATTCTGGTCTCTTCTCTTGCCTTGGAAATAATAACGAGTTATGCAACAGCTATCTTGAAGTTTGTCAATATCCTTCTTTTTAGTTTTGAGGCAAAGAGATTTTATAAGGTTATAGATTTGATTTTGATTTAGGAATAATTGCAATAGAAGTTCCAAAATTTTGAAACACTATCAGACTTTTCAAACCTTTGATTTGTTGCAACTCTCATTTCTAACCTTTTCAGTTATTGTATGTGAGGTCATTTTGAACGGTTTTCATCAAGAATTTTGTCAGTTTATTAAAAAAATGATTTTGACCACATTTTAACAATTTTTAAAGGGGCATAATGGTGACTTTACATTAAATAAATTTTTTTAAAAAAAATGGAATTATTTTTTGATCTTCTTCCCCAACCAAAATCTTCAAAGCCCTAACACCATCTTTACTTCCCAAATCCCCATGGCCAGAAAGTGAAAAGCTCTTGCCTCTGCAGCTCCTCTACTACTTGAACATGTCCAACTGGTTTGGGGCTTCTATTGCAATTATCTCTTTGATTTATTGGGGCTTCTAGAATTGTGTGAATTCACTGTATCTAGTTTTAGGGGTTTGGATCTCAACTTTTTGAGGCAAAGAGATATTCTCTTCTTCAACTTTGGGTCAACGGGTTTTCTTTTAGGTCTTGTAGTTCAATTTGGGGCTCCGACTAGATAGGTTCAAGTTGTAAAGGAGCTACAAAGACAAGAGCTTTTCATTTTCTGGCCTTGGGATTTGGGAAGTAAAGATGGTGTTAGAGTTTCGAAGATTTTGGTTGGGGAAGAAGATCTCGAAGATTTTGATTGGGGAAGAAGATCAATTTTATTTTTTTATTTTAATGCATTCTGTCCCTTTAAAAAATTTTAAAATGCTGTCAAAATCATTTTTTGATCAACTGACGAAATTTTGGATGAAAACCGACCTAAGGAGCTTCACATCCAAAGCTTGGAAAAGTTCGGGGTGACAGCTGCAATAAATTAAAGGTTTGGAAAAAATCTGCTAGTGTTTCAAAGTTTGGAACTTCTACTGCAATTATCCCTAAAATAAATCACAAACGAGGACTAATATTGAAGATTTTAAAAGTCACACCTTTATGTCAAATTTCAACAATGAGCAGTGAATTTTTTAGTGAAATTTCAATTGTATCGATTAGGATAGTAAATTTCAATTTATCAAATTTCATCATTTAGTCATATTCTATCACCTAATCATTCCCTGAATCAAATGATATTACTTAATAGGCAAACATAACTAATATTTTCCTTAATCATTACGTGGCACCTATAAATGTGATAGAACAAGCATTATGGCAATACTTTTATATTAAAAAGTAAAATGATTTTCGAACACTTATAAGCGTAGTAATTAAGTGAAAAATCTATTGAAATATAACTTTTAATTAAGTAATTTAATCAATTTAGTGGGTAACAAGTGACATAATAGTGAAATTTGAAATTAAATTGAAGTGTAGTGATTCAATTGAAATAAATGTAAGTTCGGTGATACAATTAAGGGAAATTAAAATTTGGTAACCTGATTGAGATTTTTCTGAAAGTTCAGTGACCTTTGAAGAAATTTACCCTCATAAAATGGACATGGAATACCAGAAATTGTTGGGTTGCGTGCCATTCAGTAGTATATAAGTCTTCCTGAACCCCCCAAATCCCTCAACTCTCTGGGAGTATATTTTGGCGAACAATCACCAAGAAAATAAGGCATGGCAAATTCCACCCAGTTGAAATCCGAAGCCCTCATGGAGCAAATGAAACTCCATATGTCAACCGATGAAGGAAAAAAGCTTGTTAAAAAAATTGGCTTGGTTTATCAGATTAACATAGCCCCCAAGGTTTTGTAAAGAATTATTCGATTATTTATGTTGATGTTTATGAAATTGCTGAATTATGTATTTAGTTTTTCGTAATTGGCAGAAAGTTGGGTTTAATGAGAAGTCTTTTGTGGTTGATCTGAAGAAAGGGGCAGTTAAGGAAGGTTAGGGTTCTAGAAACACTTCTCAATTTAATTTTCCCGGATTAATTTGAAGTATATCAACAGTAATATATGTGGAAAAATGGAGTTTACCCTGTAATTTTTGTATCTCCATCGACTGATGTTTACTCTCCTAGGGCCGTACGAGGATGGGAAGCCTGATGCCACATTTTCATTTACTGACGATGATTTTGTTAAGGTTGCATCTGGGAAGATGAATCCTCAAATTGCTTTCATGAGGTACATTTTTTGTTCGTTTTCTACTTCAATTTGTTAACTTGGCTGAATTGATGTTTTAGTGAATGAAATTAATAATTTTGATATAAATCTGTTGGATGGATGCAGGGGTGCAATGAAGATAAAAGGTAGCATAAGTGCGGCTCAAAAATTTTCACCAGATATTTTCCCCAAACCCTCGAAGATGTGAGCAGTCAGGTCATAATGTACTAGATTACGAGTCAAGGATATTTTTTATTTATTTCATTAAAGTTGTGTTTTTAGCCAAAATTTCACCCATGGTTTATGAAGATAGCAATGATATTAAGTCAGCACGTGTATCTTAAAGATGAAATGGATGTTTTATTCTGTGTCATGGCACTTGACTGAAGGCATGCTCTTCATAAGGATTTCAAGACACAAATCTTCATGTTGTACTTAGCCCATTGAAATAAATAATCTCATTGATTTACGTGTTTCTCGCTTGTGTACTTATGAGAAAATTGGCTGATATTTTCCGATTAGAACATGTGGTCTCCTTTACATCTGTTCTGTCTTTCCTGTCTGAAGTGTCTAAAGGCAATTTAGATCACAGATTTTGCAGGAGGTGAAAATTCTTATTGATCCTTTACAGATTTTGAAAAAGCCTATTCCTTTATAGGTCTCCAGACATAAAATTAGACATATAGGTGTCTTGTAGTGGTTATACCCGCAAACAATAAAATTTAAGTCGAGGGAAGAATAGTAAGGCGGCGTTGCAAGTAATTCTCTCCGAATATGTGCTCGAAATTGAAATTGTGGAAAGACATCCACTGACACGTAAAAAATCTGTACTATCTATCTAGTGAGCCAATATTAGTTTAACCATCTATTTGTGTTGGAAAAGGTTATTTTTATTGATTCATTTCCTGAAGGATTATGGAGGATTGTATCTTATGATCTAGATGTTCACTCCTTGGGAGCTCGTTTACCGGCAAGCATGACTTGAGTTGTACAGTACATCTATTATTTTAATAAATTGTACATGGCCCTGTCCAAACAGGGCGCCAACGTACAGGGCAGCATCGTTCGTATTTTTTTGTAACATAATTTATTTACTTAGAAAATAGTGCGATGGCTTCAGTTTTTGTACATCAAATGCAACTATTTTTTGTCAAGTCTAAAGGGGCTTATGCTAAACATGTAAATTGAGTTAGTGAAGTGCCAAGTGCTGAAAGTTTAGTGCGAAAAGTGCTGTATCATTTTGTTGATTCAGAAACTGACAATGAATGATGGATTATGGATAAGGCTCGGCAATATAAAACATGCTGGATGTTTCGAGAGCAAATAATATTATTTGTTTTCTTTTCAATATAGCATAGTGTTGGTGCTAACTGTACTTTTATCAACTTATATAGGCTTCCTGGGATTGTCTTCTGTGTGAAGTAAGCTGAAAGTCACTTTTCCGTCTTACTTGAGTATAGATTATGTTTATGAATCATTCTACATTGTTGTTCAATGTACTGGTTATGAGCTTATGAGCTTTCATTTTGGACTTAATTTCTGTCGTGGAAATGCATTACTGTTTTAATTTGTGGGCTAAATATGAAGCTGGCTTTATGGTACAGAAGTCTTCAAATGGCCTGAACATTTGATACAATATGAAGACAACATGCCATGTATTAGAAGAATGACAAAAGCAAGAGCCAGATCGCAGTTCTCCTTTGACAGCAGGCTTTCTTTATTCGAGCTTCACTTCTAAAAATGAGTTTAGCAATCTACCACATCTATAGTTCGAGCTACGGTTTCTGGATTTGACTGTGTTTAGTTTTTAATGATTTGCTCAGATTTGGTACAAGGTAAATTATTCTTGATGCAGGTTTAGTTAACTTCCGTAATTAGTTCAACTTGGAGAAGATTGAACCACCCCATATTTATGAATGCTTTGGTTATCATATAGAAGCAATGGCCACTTGAAAAAATGACAATATTGTAAGGACCTCTTTAAAGAAGGAGAAAGTTGACAGGCAGCAAAACACGAATCTAAGATTTTCTTTATAGCAACAATGTGTGAGATCACTTCTTTCTTTTATATCCATCTTTATTATTGATTTAATGCCTAGGATTTTTCCATTTTTTCCCCCTCTAATCTAGGTAGATTTTCCCTTCATATTTATACCGTACAATTTTCACTTAGAATTTGTCTTCACATTGGCAGATAACTTTAATTTGTCGTCATATTTTACACATAGTAGTTAGGTTGTTAAAGTAGGTGTTTTAACATCAATTATCGACTAAATTGAACAAACTAACCTGTAAATGGATCGGCATGGCTTGGGACATGGTGCCATGCATCGAGAATCCTCCTCCCCATATGGCATGGCAAAGTCGCCAAGCTAGGCATTTGGTCTATATTATCGATTGTGTTTTAATAATGTTATCATAATTGATGTTAAAATCATTTCCACAAGAAAGCATGTTGGAACCTTGAGGGCCACACTTGGTCCGTCATCCTATCAGAATGGGCTTAACTTAAGTGTGCGTTGATGGTTGTGTGAGATCACCAACATGCTTTCTTGTGGAAATGATTTTGGGACCAAGAACTGCAGCATATTTGCCGAATGAGTAGGCAATCAAGTGTTGGAAATAATGTTACTCCACCAAAGATATTATGAGAACGAATTACAAACAAAATAAAAAATCGAAAGAAGTATAGGAGATGAAGAAATAGCAAAGTATATATGAAGAAATTGAAGGCTCAAACACAATCTTTGATTGTTGTCCTCAAACGAATTTTGCCCCCACTATTTTGGTGTTTAAAGGGTGATCCGGCAAAAGGTTTGAAGGATTAATCAAGCCTTATAGAGATTCAAACACTAAACACTTGTTTGAATCTCTAAAACTTAAGAATACAAAGAAAAAGATGAATATGAGAGGGTATTTTCTTTTGGATTTGATCTCAAGAAGTATCAATATAATAGGTGTTTTTTCTTCAACTTTTTCCAATGACCCAAAATCACCTATTTATAGCCAAGTAGTATAGCTTCACGAAGTGGTGCACCTTATGGATGAAAAGCCACCAAAAAATCAACAAAAAACGACCCAATGTTCGTTTTTTCTGTACCATGCGGTCGCATGGTACAATCCTACCGAGACCATTTTGGTCTTGGTAGGGTTCCATGCGGTCGCATGGCCTAAATTTTTTTTTTCTTATTGTTGGTTTTGAACAATCATACCACTTCATAACAATCCCCCACTTGTTCAAAATTAACAAGTTCTCATATTCAAATTATACGATACTCATGCGTAAGGATTATATATCTTTCGATTTGAATCTAACCATAGTGTAATTCAAACAAAGTAAAGTCGAAATTCAAGGTAGCGTGAAGCTTTGAACCAAGTATTTCATGTGACAATACCGGTAAGAACACACACACGAATATCACGTGTTCTCAAATTCCTCGTTTCTCGCTTAGCGCTTTTATGGCCTCGCACTTATCCTTTTCAATAAACTTTTAGAGAGAACTACAACTTTCTATTAAAGCGGCACCACCTTGAAGTTTATTTAGGTAAAGTTCTTCCAGTACCTTTGTTACTTTTAGAAGTACTTGCGGTTTTTCACTGAACTTTATTAAGAGCTTATAGTTCAACCCTCGTTTCAGTAACAACCAGCATTATATTAATCTAGGATAGGATCATTGCGGATTATAATAATGCTGTAACTATCCACATATCGAATGACTAGTTGTTACCCTTTGAACCCGTGTAAAACCTTTTGAGTAACGACAGGTAGGGTTGCCATCATTGGTGGATATTTCAGTTAAGGAGTTTCAATCCCATCCTACTTGAAGTAGATGCCACTAAATCTCTATTTAGAGGTTTAGTTAGAAGATCCGCCAAATTTTCATTCGACCTTACATAATTTAGGGAAATTATTCCATCTTTGATTAACTTCCTTATGTAGTTGTGTCTAAGACTCATATGTCTAGACTTCCTGTTATATACATCATTGTATGCTTTAGCTAAAGTGGCTTGACTATCACACATTATTGGTATTGAAGAAATATTCTTTGATCCCAAAGGTATCTCATAGAATAAGTCTTTAAGCCATTCAGCCTCCTTTCTTGTATCTGATAGGGCTACAAATTCAGATTCCATAGTTGAATGTGTTATGCATGTTTGTTTCTTCGACTTCCAAGAAACTACACCTCCTCCTAGAGTAAACACCCAACCCGTAGTTGATTTACTTTCATTCGTGCTAGATATCCAACTAGCATCAGTAAATCCTTCTAATATTGCTAGAAATTTAGTATATTGTAGACCTAAGTTTTTGGTTTTCTTTAAGTATCCGAGAACTCTCCCAATTGCTTTCCAATGTTCATTACTTGGATTGCTAGTAAACCTACTAAGTTTACTTATTGCATAGGCTATATCTGGTCTTGTGCATTGAACTGCATACATAAGACTTCCAATAGCACTTGCATTCTCTAATTGAGCAATTTCTCTCCATCATTTTTTACAAGTTTTGAAGCTTGGATCAATAGGGGTATTATACTCTTTTATGTTCAAATGTTTGAACTTATTTATCACATTATCAATATAATGTGATTGACTAAGGTAATAACCCCCACTAGTCTTTGAGACTTTGATACCAAAAATAGTATCAATTTGTCCAAGATCCTTCATCTTAAATGTGGAAGATAGAAACCTCTTCGTTTCTTTTATCCCATCCATGTGATTACTTATAATCAACATGTCATCAA